TTAGAAAATATGTAAACATTCACATTCCTTATTTATCTGTCCTGATACTGAGAAATATGTCTGGTTCCCAGGCTTCAAAGCAAAGAGGGCTGTGTTCTTCACAAAGGTAGTTTTGAAATATTAACTCTTTTTTAGTGAAGGAGTGAGGTTGTGTCTTATCTACTGCATCCCAGACCCTTTGATTTATAGTGCAGCTCTGATGTCATAACTGCTTGCCTGTAGTCCTTGCCTATAGTCCTTTGGGAAGGACTGCACTAATGGAAAATCACTAGTGTATTAAACAGAATCTAGTGACTAAGGGAAACGTTTAAAATCTATTGAAAAACATATTTATATTGCCTGTTTCCAAATGAAATCAAGTTCTAAATTGACTTTGATTTACCTTCTCTTACTCAGCAAATATATCTTTCCCTGAAAGGAAATGAGTTGGTGAATACTCCCACTAACTAGAAAACAGTGGAACATTTAAGATTTCATAACATGTTGGAAATGCTCCTTGTGTTTTAGGATTTGGGTCGCTCTTTCCAAATAGGTGTTAGGCTGAGCATAATGTGAATGTCCAAAAAGGGGGAGAGCTCTTCTGGTGTGTAACTATTGTGACTACTCAGTTTGGGGACACTGATTTAGCTATTGTCTGTCTGTCTGTCTGTCTGTCTGTGTTGGTTGCGAGTGATTGTTGCAGATCCTAGCAAGTACCCCTTTTCAGCCACTCACTAGTACTATTGTGAGGGAAATCCAAGCCTCTTTCGCTCTAGATTCCTGTGTGTTTTAAACTCCTGGTGTATGAATGGAGTCCAGCCATTTCTGGGTCCCTAGGCACATTTTCAGGGCTCAGACCTTCCATCTGGCACCCCCTTGCGATCTGGAACTTGTGGTCCAGCTGCCTAATCCCTCTGGGTGCAGTGGTGACCCCTCAAGCTACCTTGTAGTTAAACACACCCTCTCCAAGAACTCCACCCCAAGGGTTAAGTTTCTGGTTTATAGTTTAACTCTCTAAGGTGAATGCAGCGCTTGTGAAGCAGTTAACATGCCCACAGAATCTGCACGTCTAACACGTTTATTCTCTTTTATACGTGATCATGTAAAACACTATTGTGTAGCTCATACAAAATAATAAACACTAAATTCACATCTCTGTCTCAGTTTCCTCATCACTCCAGGGCATTCTTTTGGGCTGGGGTCAGAGTCCCAGGGGTTTTCAGAGGCCTTGGGGCCATCTGGGCTTAGGAAAGTGGTCAGGGCACCTTGCCCCATGAGGCTGCTACATCCTGGGTGAACTTGCTCTCTCCTCCCTCTTGCTTCTTCCTCCTGTCTGGCTCTCATATTCCTGTGTGGCTTGCTTTTTAAACCCTGCTGGCTTCCTTTGTTCTACCTTTTAGGTAACTTTCTACTGCTCCTTCCTTCCTTAGTTCTTCCATTCTTCAGGGGATTGAGCCAAAACTGGTTTTGTAAAGATGCAGCTCACTCATTGTACCTGACTAGGGTCACTGAGTCCTAAGCACCCCCAATGTATCAGTCTGGTGTGTACCTCCCAGCAGTGGTGGATCCACATACATATAAACCAGGGGTCTCCAAACTACGGCCCGTAGGCCGGATCTGGCCCAGGGCTTCTATTTGTCCGGCCCTCCAACCAACAGGGGAGAAGCAAACAGCTGAGTAGGCATGAGCAGGCAGGGGGAGGGGCCGCCGGCAGCAGCTCACATGGGGCAGCAGCTGAGCTGAGCTGTGCAAAGGGGTGAGGGCCCCCGGGAGCCAGTGTCCCCCCCAAAAGGGGAGCCAACTTAGGGGAGAGTCATTGCTGCAGCCGAGCAGGCACGGACCCCTGCCTTAGGAGTAAAAATACAAGCCAGATGCTTAATTACATCTCCAATAAATGGAGTAAAGAAGATGGAAATTAACAATTTAATAATGGTTAAATTTTAACTACATCACTAATAGAACCAAACAGTATTTGTATGATACAAATGTGTGAGTTTTTAGAAATAAAATAAAAAAAAATGTGAAATGATTTTTAATGTATTGACAAATATTTTGTGTGATTTCACAGTACCTGCAACGATTAACTTTTATACCTGATTTAGAATTTAATGCAACACTGACACAGTAGAATAGTGTTGTTTTTTTAACGATTTCGCATATATTTAATTTCTTTCACAGTCGCTTCGGCCTGCGAAGCCCCTTCAAAAATCTAATATGGCCCTCGTCTCATAAAGTTTGGAGACCCCTGATATAGACACTTGTGATACAGCAGTTTTTCCTAAATGAACTTTACAATACCAACCAGAACTCTTAAATTGTACAGGCATAATAGCCCCAGTTCTTCACAGTGGCTAACCATCCAACAAAACCCTCCAGTAATGTGCTTAATGTCAAGCATGCAAGTAGTCCTGTTTATTTCAGTAGGCCTGTTCATATGCTTAAAATTAGGCAGGTACATAAGTGGTTTAATGGATTAGGACCATAGAGACCTGAACTGTGAGACTGAGGTTTTATATGGGTGGGGCCAGTGTGTTATTTCATTGTTTGTATAATAAACTAGTAAAATGTAATTAAAGTGTATGGAATTGCTCTCTAAACCATACATTTTATCTTGTACCTGTAAATTTGTTCAAAGCATGGAGATGGCTTGGTTTAGGAGATTTAGCTTGCACTGTGAAAGCCAGGAACTCCTGAGTTCTAATCCTGCCTCAGTCACTGACTGCTTTTGTGACCTTGGTCAACTCACTCAATCACTTTGTGCCTCTTTTTACTCCTGTAATATTGCATTATTACTTACCTGTCTGCCTTGCTGGTTGTTGTGGTGATTTAGTTAAAGTTTATATGGTTTGAAATTTCAAAGCGTTGACTAAATGCTGCTGCTGCTGCTTCTGTTTCTGCTTTGTTTGCTTGTAGTACCACAAATCATCATGCAGGTGGTATTCACATCCCAACATAGCTGACAAGTGCTTTTTTGTCTTTTGAAGGATGGAAATAGTGTTTGTACAAAAGTGCATGGTATTCTTTTAATATTCAAGAGAAGAGACTGTGCCAATTATATAAATAGGGTCCAGTCCTGTTTTCATTGAAGTTAATGGCAAAACTCACATCCACTTCAATGGAGCAGGATTAGGTACATAGCCTTTACGCTTAGGATACTGAAGGCAAATAGTGTCACAGAGTGTTAAATAAATCCATCAAAGTTTGTAAAGTGCATTGAGATCTTCAGATGGAAGACATGCTATGCCCATAGTATTACTAATGATTATTATTAACAGATACTTTAGCTAATATTTTTATACCCTGCACAGACATTGTTACGGTACTGGCAAGGAAAAGCAGCTTGAGTAGAAATGAAACTGTCTAGTACAGGAGTCTGTTTTTCTAACCTGCTTATTTTAAATAATATGAACAAGCAGATATTCATGCAAACATTCTACATTCTGTGTCCATTCCGCTGTCTTATGTATGTATTGCATAGTGCTGTAGAAATCAGTCTTGACATTAATTATTTTGAGCTCTGTGGAAGCACTTGGAACACATTTGATGCTATATAATAATTTCCCAGTGAAAGAGCATCATTGCTTACATGTCCCCACTGTGTAGTTTCACTGATTTAGGAACTGAAATTATTTCCCTTGTCTCATCAGATAAAATGAATATTCTGCTACTACATTTATACCAAAAGTCTTAATTTGCTTTTATGAATTCCCTTTTTAAAATACTGTAAGGTACAGTCATATCAGTTTATATTATACCAGGACTTGGTGCCTAGATGTTAGTTATCAAGTTATGGAACATAACTGGGCATTGTAGGAATAGGTAAAGTAGATAGAAGCTATGCTGGGCAGTTCTGTATTATGATTTATAATAAGAAAAAGTGGAAAGTTGGACCAGAAATCCAGAAAGAAATATTTCCTTCTGCAGATGCTGAGAATGTTTTTCACTCCCAAACAAAGCAGAAGGTATTCTAATCCCTAAATAAACGGTGGGGCCATCAAATTCCTTTTGCACAAAAACTCTTGCATGCTATTAGTCTTTGTGAGCATGCCAAACTTAACTAATGTTTTAATACTGTATAATCTGGCTTCTTTTCTCAAAAACTAGTATAGCATAACTATGTTTTATATATCAAGTGACATTTTTCCTGCTCCTTATTCAGATACTAATTCAACTCCTCATTGATGATTTCTATCCATTATGTTGATATAAGCTATTTTGAAAAGATGCTAGAAGAATCCTATAGAAATAGATGATAAGGCTATCCTCCAGTCTGCCTTTGCAAAACTCCACCTGAAGACAAATAATACTAAAATCTTGCAAAATTCTTGGTACCTACTTGAAAATCCTGAGTGCCCGCAATTTCCACTGAAATCAACATATGTTTTCCTCACATAAGACCAACTGATCTAGTCCCGACACTCCCTGTCACTCTTTTTTATTATTCTTTTGTCTTTCTGTGAAGCAGTTTTTTTATGGTTATGTGTCCATGAAAATTCAAAGGCTCAATAGTAAGTGAAAGGATCACATATAAAACTTGTTTAATCATTGATTTTTAAATGTGAAAAGTTAATAACAAGTGTTACTTTTTGTTTCATTTGTACAATTTACCAAACACAACACTCTAGCTGGCATATACATAGAAAAGGTGGCCAGCATGGCATATGTCCAGATACGAGTTTCATTGTAGTTTACATGTCATATTAGTTATTCATTACCAAAGGTGTGGCTCTGCAACGTTCCAAAATTGGAAAGAGGTAGTTTCAGAAATACAAATTTTACTTTTGTCCTTTTTTACCCAGCGCAGAAGTTATGTGAAAAGTCAGTTTGAAGTTACAGGCATAGTTATTATACTTGCTTGAAATTAAACTGCAAGGCTATGCAAAATAACTCCTGTATGTGCAAGCACAACATCAGTATTTCCAAAGATATTTTAGGGCTTTCCTTTTCCCATAGTAAATTCCAGATTAAAATATTTCTCCCTTTTTTTGCAGTCACATCACCTTTTTATTCTCTCATTTCAGCATGTATACACCACAACGGCCATCAATGGGACAAATTTTTGTACCTCAGCAAAGGATGCTCTCTTTATTTTAGCAAAGAATTCTGCTAATATAGCGTTCATTAATTGCTTTGGAGACTTCATCATTTTTCTAGGAAAGGTAAGAGACTGTAATTTACAAAGTCCATGCATAAACTCCTAATTATAGACTAACTATAGGCCCAATCCTGTAGTAATGAAGACAAAGATTAGGGACTGATTCTCTTTTCACACACACTAAGTAAATCAGGAGGATGACTCTGTTGAAGTCATGGAGTTATACTGATGTAAAATGGGCTTGGTGAGAGGAGAATCAGGTTCTTGCATTTTTGTTGGAGGAACTTAGTTCACTGCTTATTATATTTACTTCATTAGTATTACAGAAGCACCCAGAGGCCTCACTGCACTAAATGCTGTACAAACGCATAGTAAGAGAGAGTTAATGCCCCTAGAACTTAGTCTAATTTAAGACAAGGCATGACAAGTGGGTATAACAAACATATGGATGGGAGGACAAGAATAACAATGATAATAAATCTGTGTATCCACATGTGTCCTGTGTGAACAGCTAGATGGTTTCAAATTGATTGATCTCAAGCCTTCTCTCCCCTTTATGAAATAAATTGTCTTTAAATGATTAGCCAATACAATATTTGCCATAGCTTTGGTGCATATTGTAATATAGCTGCTTCCTTTTCCCCCCTTTATACAGGTGTTTGTTGTCTGTTTCACAGTCTTTGGAGGGTTAATGGCATTTAACTACCATCGTGAGTTCCACGTCTGGGTAGTTCCTCTGTTGCTAGTTGCACTTTTTGCCTGCTTGGTAGCCCACAGCTTTTTGTCGGTTTTCGAAGTGGTCATGGATGCCCTGTTCTTTTGTTTTGCTATTGATATGGAAACAAATGATGGATCTCCAGAGAGGCCATACTTCATGGATCAAGAATTACTGGTAAACTCTTGTGACAGTAATGTAGACACATTAGCAGGCAGATAAATTCAGTAATACGTTTTAATAGTGTATTGATGAAGTGGTGTTCTAGTGCCTAGGATTCGCTCTCCCCTCCTCCCCCACACCCATAAAAACTAACCCACAATAAATGCCTTCTTCAGCTCCTTAGAAGATGTGGACTAAAGGATACAAATTATATAATAAAGTTAACACCTCCCATTGCGTCTCCCAGTGCATCTGCTTTAGTCTTTTAAACCCAGCCTCTCTGGATAAAGACCATCTTCGTTTGTGTTTTTCATAGGTTAAATACATTATTGGTGCTTAACAAATTAATAGGTGACCCAGTATGTAGAGTCCCCATCTACATCATGAAGACCTAAAACTAGAAATGTAGATGTAATGTATCTTAACTTGCATCCAGAAATGTTCCCTCTAGTTTTCAGCAGTTGTTCAGGTAGCTATGGTAAGCCCTGAAGACTACAATTTTGAACAAGCCTCATCCTTGTCTGGCAAACTTAATCAGTCTCTTTCCACTGGGCTGTTTGTTATCTGTACCATGGGAATTCCTGTGCCAGACTGTTGATGTTACATGATGGAGAATCATTCGAAGAATTAGGAAGACAGTTTTAGTTTAAATAAATGTTCAGTAGATAGTGATGGTAAAAAGTTCTTTAGTTACAAAGGCATGTGGAATGTTTAAATGTACATACACCTTTTCTTTCATATGGAGAGGAAGGTTAAAGAGACAGATGTTCTTTCCTTTCATGCTGCTTTCTGACCAGGTCTGCATTTTTCCTCACATGCCATGTGACAAAGACAGTGTTACTGGTCCATGAAAAATAAATTTAGCAGCCAGAATAACCCATACAGGATGGATGCTCTTGATGGATTTCATCAGAAAAAATGCCATAATATCTGATTTGAAATAGTAGTTGTTACTTTCCTTGTAATATTCACAGAATTCTTTTTTTTTTTTTTAAACACCCAAACTTCCTATAAATGAATTTAACCCTTTGGCCAAAAGAAGACAGTTATTTGGTTTTTCACTCCGATTCAGGACAGCATTTAACCACATGCTTAAGGCTATGCATGTGTTTACGTTCTGTCATGAATAGCGATATATTCCTGAGTGTGGAACCTTTTGGAGTCTTGCCCTCCAAACTTTTCCTTCTTCAAATGAGAGACTTCTCCTTCTGTCAACCACAAACTATTTGCCAAATGCCAGAATGTGTCTAACTTTAATTTTTGCCTCAAGAAGGCAATTTATAGCCACTCCCTGTCTGCACTGCACTGCTGTCTACGTTCTTTCCTAATCCCTACTGCCAGACTCTCCAACTCTTGCCTTAACTCTCTGTGCAACTTGCCATGCCCTTGGGGCCAGAGGGAAATGAAGCTTTCCAGTAAGGGAGGTTGTAGAGAGACTGCCCTCTCCTCAACAGCTGTAAACATCCCACTAGACATAGCCAGTTTCCAGTGTCATCCACTTGGGAACTAGTTAGTTTAAGGGTTTAACACTCCATGCTAATTGTCCTCCTTTTCAGTGTTTCACCAGGTTGTTGATTTATATAACAGTTTAAATTTCTGGATGACCTTGTCCTTTATTTCTGCTTTGTAGAGTTTTGTGAATCACAGCACCAAGCTAACAGAGTGGGAGAAAAACAGAAAGCAAAACAATGAAGATGGTACAGAACTACAGCCTATGGTGAGACGGGAACAAAGACGATGTGATGAGGACATCAAATAACATGTTGTCTCCCAGGTGTACTACAAGAATGGGGATAGACTGTAAATATTTATTTTCTACTTTATGATTTCTTGCAGCAGCCAAATTGTTGAGCCCCAGGGCTTTCATCCCTTCATACTAATCGTTGTTACTGACACTGGAAGCTCAGGGCCAGATTGTGGCCATGAATGGCCAGCAGTGAACTCTGCTGGTATAAAGCAGGCAGAGCTGGCTTTTGTGCCAACCACCCTTCCCATCCCCAGCATAGAGAGGGATGAAGAGGCGCAGAAAGAGCATGTGGCAGGATTCCTCACAGCCACATTGATCCTCCATTGGCATAAAGGCTCAAAAGGCCTTAAGTATAAATTACTGTAGTGCTAGGTTGTTCTAATTCACACTGGGATTGGTATAGATTTCCTGCTCCCATGCACTGAGCAGTGCTCAGATGTGGTGGAGAATCTGGCACATGTTTTAAGCTGATATTTTTGTTTGATTGTGCTTTACACTGTTTAAAAATTATGAGGTGAAAGAAGGGAGATGCCCCCTCAAGATGCAGTTTCAGACTTAAAGACTAAGGGTGTGTCTTCAAGCACAATTAACTCAAGTTATAATTTCAGTGTTACCCCTAGACTCTCATCCACACTCACAAATCTCTAGCTTGAGTTAGGCCATGTCTACACTACATAGTTTTGTCAACATAAAGCAGCTTATGTCGACCTAACTAGAGGTGTACACACTGCAATGCTCCTCTGGCCGCTTTAACTCGCCTGCTACGCTGACATAATAAAACCACCTTGATGAGAGGAATAGAGCTTAGGGCAACGTAGTTAGAGTGACGCAGTGTCAGTGTAAACACTGCGTTGCTTACATCGCCCTAAGTGGCCTCCAGGAGGTATCCCACAATGCCCACCGTGACAGTTCTGGTTACCATTTTGAACTCCCCTGCCCTGCAGCCTGGTATACAAGTGAACACCCCTCACCTGTTAAAGCCCGGGGAAGTTTTGAACTTGCTCTTCCTGTTTGCTCAGGGTGGAGATCTCACGTAGCAAGTGCCCAGCTGAGCATGCTGGCTCCACGCAGTACCCTGCCTTGAGTACCCGGGAGGTGGTGGATCTCCTGGATCTGTGGGGATAGGAGGCTGTGCAGGTGCAGCTCCGCTCCAGCCTCAGAATGCTTGATGCCTGGAGGAGAAGGGCTACGATAGGGACGTACAGCAGTTCAGAGAGTTGCGGCAGGCATAGCAGAAGGCAAGGGAGGCAAATAGTCACCTCTGATGCGGAGCCGCAGACATGCCGCTTCTGCAAGGAGGAGGCTGGGGTCAGAGTGTTGGTGAATAGCTCCCCCCCCCCTTGAGCTCCTCTTATAGCCTTGTGTTTATAATGCCAGTACAATACTGAAGAGCAGTAGAGGATCCATGCTTTCTGCCACACATGGCTGGCTCACAGGTGACCAGGGCAGTTGAAAAGCAGCTGGAAACCTAGTAGGATGCCCATGGAATGATGGGATTGAGAAACTTGCATCATGTGACATTAAACCTGCCCCCATGAGGCATTGCAAACCCTTTCCAAAACACCCTGCGGCCAGATGCACAGTGGGATAGCTACCCACAGTGCACTGCTCTCTGTGTCAATGCAAGAGCTGCTACTGTGGATATACGCCGCCCACACAAGGAGCATAGTGTGGACATGCAACAGCTGTTTAATTACAGCGACTTAACTTTGTGGTGTAGACATTAGCCTTAAATGGTGTTTTATGCTCAAGCCTGTTTGGGCCGGGGAGGGATGGGATAGTTTGAAACTCAAGTGATGCTGAAGCTCAAGCTCCTAATGCTGTGGGGATGTAACAGCTTGAGTTACAAGTCTTTAGCAGCTAATCCAATCACTCTGTTAACCCAATTACTCTGTACTGCTAATCCAATCACTCTGTGTAACTCCATAGTTTTTTTGGTAGTGTGGTTGCTCTCACTTGAGGTAGGCTAGCTCAGATGCAGTTTTTTGAGTGTACAAACTCGAGTTGTGTTGCTGTGAAGACGACAAGCTCTCAGAGAAAAAGGTTGCCAGTTGACTTTAATGGAGCTATGACAATTTACATCAGCTGAGAATCTGACTCAGTGTGTTTAGAACTCAGCATGATTGTCACCCAGGCTCAAAATATCATTCTCAGTAAAGCCCAGGGTTGGCTGATAAATGGTCTGCAGCAGCAGCCATTCCATGTCCTGCTAAATTGTGTCATGCACAAAAATGAAGTCGGTATTGTTGCCCCTTTTTGACCCAAGTGGCTAGTCAAAGTTTGGGAGCTGGTGAGTGTTCAGGTGGGAGTAGAAATTGGTGAAAGTCAAGTGTTTCTTTGATGCAATTTTGGTTATTTACAACGAATGTACAAAGTTCTGTCTTTCTGAACACGTAGGCAATCAAATAGCAGGAAACAGCTTCTTTTGCTAACAGCAGTCTTTTCAGTCTGCACCCCAGTGGCAGATTAATAATTTTGCTGCCCCTAGGCCGGGAAATAATTGCCGCCCTGGCCCTGCCCCGACTCCGCCCTTTTCCCACCCCCATTCCAACCCCCTCCCCAAAGTCCCTGCCCCAACTCCGCCCCCTCCCTTCCCCTATTGGATCCCTTCCCCAAATCCCCGCCCCTGCCTCTTCCCCCAGCGCGCGGCGTTTCCCCCTCCCTCCCTGCCCCGTGAAACAGCTGTTTCGCGGCGCAAGCGCTGGGAGGGGAGAGAAACAGGAGGCGGCGTCGCGCTTGCAGAGGAGGCGGAGGTGAGCTGGAGCAGGGGGGCAGGGCGCGGAGGGGAGCTTCCGCCTCTGCAAATTTGCCGCCCTGCAATAATACGGCACTGCTGCACCCAACCCAAAAACCTCTCCCCACGTGTCTTCCAGGGTGAGCCACTCGCTTTCATCTGCTTCTTCAGCCTGTCTGTGTCACTCACTCAGGCTGTAGCTACCCTAGAGAGCTTACAGCGGCACAGCTGTACCGATGCAGCTGCGCTGTTGTAAGATCTCTAGTGGAGCCACTCTAAGCCAACAGGAGAGAGCTCTCCCGCCGACTTAATTAATCCACCCCCAACAAGTGTCGGCAGGAGAAGCTCTCCCGCTGACATAGTGCTGTCCACACCAGGCTTAGGTTGGTGTAACTTATGGCGCTCAGTGGGTGGCTTATTCACACCCCTGGTCAACATAAGTGATAGCATAGACATAGCCTCAGTCTGTTCTCAGTTTCTGTGTGTGCTGTCTGCCTTTCACTTACCCATGATCACAATACCGAGGCAAACCTTCCGTCCACCTGGGGCCAGTGTCTGGGCAGACTTTATTAGACTTTGTTTTAGGTGTGGCCTTTTAACTGTTTCTTACAGCTGGCTTAAATGAGGGACTTATTCAGACACCAGTTTAAAGAAGTGTTAACTCATCCCATAACAAGGTTTTATCCAGCTCATAACAGTATATTTTGGTGACTTTATTTCTTGATTTATTTTCAAGAGGTTGCAGACTCAGGGTGTGTCTATGCTACAAGTGCTGCAGTGGTACAACTGCAGTAGGATTGTAGTGTAACACTACAGCGATGGAAAGGGGTTTTCTGTCACTGTAGTAAATCCACCCTCTCAAGAGATGGTACCTAGATTGATGGAAGAATTCATCCTTTGACCTGTCTACGTCTACAGTGGGGGTTAGGTCAACCTAACTACACACAGCGTGTGAAATTTTTCACAGCTCTGAGCAATGTAGCTAGGTTAATAATAATAAAATAATAATATATGGAGATATACTTATCTCATAGAGCTGGAAGGGATCCTGAAAGGTCATTGAGTCCAGCCCCCTGCCTTCACTAGCAGGACCAAGTACTGATTTTGCCCCAGATCCCTAAGTGGCCCCCTCAAGAATTGAACTCGCAACCCTGGGTTTAGCAGGCCAGTGCTCAAACCACTGAGCTATCCCTCCCCCTTCAGGCACTTACACTTTTTTCATAGCATTATTGTATAGAGAAATAACCTAAGTTCTTGGGTTAGAATTCATGGTTTTAAGTTTATTATTCTGATTATAAATGGCTGTGCTTGGTGTCTTCATTACTTGTACTTTTGGTGAATTTAGTCAAAAATTATTGAAAAGCACAAAAGGAATACAAAATAGTTCTTTGTACCCTTACTTTCCCCCACCAAAGAAAATCTTGGATACACAGATACAAGAGTGCACAATCCCCCTTTATTTTCTTGAAAGATCACATTTTACAAATATTTTATAAAGATGTCAGGGCCAGTGCTATGTATTTGACTTTTTTTTTTTTCCTGATTGTAGACTTGAACTTGAGATTGACCTTGAAAGCATGCAGGCTAAACAGTAATAGCAGAAATTCAGACAAAACAAAGTGAAGGTTACAGATATGTTGCAACAAAGTAATTTTTAGATGTGTAAACCCTGGTTTGTACCTCTTGCACTGAAGAAAAAATTAGAGATTTAATTATTGTTTAATTTTTTATGTACAATAATGGATTTTTCCAGCATATCTGATTTTATTAAAAAAATGTAAAAGTATTTATGAGGTTTTATAAAAGTTGAATTAATAAACAAATCTCCTGTAAGATTTGTGGTGCTGCTTGAAAACAGTAAGTTGACAAAGTCCAAGAACTATCCTTTTGGTATCAGACCCGCTTGATAAGTCAGCTGATGGGACCCAGCAGTAATTCTGTATGCATCTATATGGAAAATATTGGCCAATAGTCCCTGGGTCAGTTGATGCACAGAACTGTAAAGAAGGTTCTTTTAGATCACTCCCATTTGGACTATTTAATATCCCTTAATAACCACTACACCCAATTAAGGAGCAACATTGAAGCCACTGGAAGGAAATTATCTCCAGTTTCCCTCAGCCAAGACAATGGCTACGAGGTACGTGGGGTTTGTGGGAGGTCGGTCGGTTGTTTTTTGGTTTGGGGAGGGTTTTTTGTGCAGGTGGATGGGTGGTCTTGGTGAGGAGGAAAATTATAAACAGTCCTTTGGTTCCTCTCTGCAGGGCAGATGAGGGATAAATCCTCTAGATGTACTAACGTTTGTAAATTAAAATGAACAGACATTTAGTATGCGACAAAGCGGGGAAAATAAGCTGGGCTCTTGATGTTGATCTGAGATCATAGGA